TGACAGGGCACTGCAAGATAAGGTAGCTATGTATGCACTTAGGAGTACTTTGTTAAGGAGTAGCCTACAGGTTTTGTGGGATGGTGGAGGAGACCCCAGAGCATACATATCGCACACTAAATGGTGTGAATGTGTTTGAATTGTTACTACCAATTTACTGTCCCCATCCAGAATCTGGAATATGACAACCTCCAAAATGTTAAATTTATAGATAACCTAAGCGTCTTAAGGGCTAGCATAATACATCTAGCTAGGCCGCTGTGTGTTATGTTTGACCAATTTCATTTTTTATTTTCGACAATTGCGGTCATCGGTAATTCTCTGGCAAGAATTTGCATAAAGAAAAGCAAACACCTTCGCTTTTCGCAAAATGAACTTTTGATTTCTGAAATGAAAACAAGGATATAAAAAATCCTTTCAAAAGCACCAGCAAAGCAAAGTAATATTCAGTTCAAGCAAAGCTCAGAAAGAAAATCAAAGATAAACACAAAGTTAAAGCAAACATTGGCGCAACGATGCTGAAGAAGATGACAAATATGCAAATGCAAAAGAGTCAAAAAGAGTGTTACAAAAAAAAGAAAAGGAAGAGGTTAGCAAATACTGGCGAGATGGCAAAAATAAGCAAAGGGAACTTTTTGAAGCAAAAGTGAAGGCAAATAAAGGCGCGGATGTGCAAACATAAGCGACAAAGAAGTAAAAAGGTGTGAGAAGTTGCGCGGGTAGATTAAAAAAATTGTAAGCAACTAGCTACACGGCGAAACCGAATTATAAAAGGTAAGAAAGTAAATTTATTCATATGTAATGAGTTGAATACTAGGAAAGCAATGTGTAAGAAGTAAAACGGCTGGCAGAAAAAGGATATGTCAGGGTAGTAGTTGCAGAAGGTGTCAAGGAATGAAGAGGTGATAAAAAAAAGATAAACCAAAAGCAGAGACGGAGTGCAAAGTTATACTCGTTTACGTTGGAGTATGTATTATGTTGAAGGATGACGAAAATAAATTTAATGCAACAAATTTTAAAGAATTTATAACATTAAATTACATAAGTTAATACGAATTCAATCAAATACAAATTAAATTAAATACCAACTAATGAAATAAAAAAATTTTAAAATATGTGAAATTAAACTCAATAGGATTGATATAAATTATACAGAAATAAAAACTAGGAAAGAAAATTTAATTAAAGTCATAGAAATTTTTCGGAAAAAGTTCCAAATTAATTAAATTAATTCAACTAATTTAAATTTAATTAAACAAAAATATATTCAATTAAAACTCGTGAAGCAAAACTAGCCTCAAATTAAAAAAAAAAAATAACGTTATTAAAAAAAAAATAAAAAAAAATAAAATTAATTAATGAAATATTAAATTAAATTAAAAAAATTAATAACAAAACCAAATAAATAAAATAAAACAAAATAAGCTAAAAAGTAAATAAATTTAAATATAGTACCTATGTATGTGTGAAGGTTTTGAGTCCAAACCCGAATACTTAGAAATATACACTGTAGAGATTTTTGTAAAAATTAGTTTTCGAAAAAGGAATCTTTCAAGCATTAAGAATAGCACAAAATAAAATATAATAGACCAAAAAATTAATTTAATCAATTTGGAAAATATATAGATATATTTAGTACATATACTGGTATTCATACTTAATAAAAAATTAAATTTTTAGAAAAGTTTAATTTTGAAAAATTTATAACTTTTGGAAAACGGAATTTTTAGTGGCAATAAAAATGAAATAAAAAACAATAACATAGAAAAGTTAAATAAAAAATTAAATGAATTAAAGTATCATTAAATAAAATATTCAAAAATTTTTTAAAAACGATTTAAGTGAAATGAAACAGAATGAAATTAAATAAAATTAAACTAAAAAACAAAAACTGATATCTATACCAAATCAATAAATATTATTCTTTTTTTAATTTCGATTCCGGAAGTATTCACAAAAATTACTTAAATAATATAAAGCTGAAAAAATTAAAAATAAATAATAAAAATAAGAAAAATTTGTGTTTTTAATTTTGTGATAGCCATTAAAATTTCCCCAAAACGTACTTTTAAAAGGTAATGAAAGCAATAGGAATTAAAAAGGATAAAATTTAAATAAAAAAAAAAAAAAATAAAATAAAAAAAACAATGAAATTAAATTAAAAAAGGGAAAAAATAATAATTGAATAGCATTAAAATACTTCTTAAATTAAATGAATTGGAATATAGCTAAATAACATACAAAATATAAATTCTATTTACATATGAATACTAAATTCTAAAATTTTAAACTCTTTAAAATTTCAATTGTAATAAAATTTAAATTAAATTTAATTTAAAAATTATAAAGTTTAATAAAATATTAAGTAAGACAGATAATTCATAGTAAAAAAAAAAATTAACTAAAACAAACCACATATGGTGACTTCGTTTCTACCAAAAAATGTCGCATTTCGATTGCCCCCTTTCTGTTTTCGTGTTCGATTCTAAAATAAGGGCAAAAGGGAGAAAATTATTGGTTCGTTTCTTAAAATTTCACACTCTTGTAAGTCAAAAAGGCATATTTTTTGGCGTTTCAAGCTTTGTCAGGGGAGATGGTTGCCCTGAAAATCAAATGGTTGCGTAAAACGATAATATTATGAATTGTGTGAGCTGGACAAGGGGCCCTTTAACAGGGTTGAATGTAACATCAAAAATATTTTGCACCGTGCAAGGGCCACATTTTTTGGTAGAAACCATTAATTAAACTGTAAACACAACTATAATTTTTAGAAAAAAGATTTTTAAGGCATTAAAATTAATATAAAATAGATTAAATTAAAAAAGAAACAATAAAATAAAAAAGAATAATAAAAAAAATTTAATAAACCAAAACATTTAATTAAAGTAAACAACAAAAGATAATTTAAAATTTAAAGATAGAAAAAAATTGTATAATGATAAAAACGAAAATTTTTCGAAAATAGAATTTATAAAGCCAAAAAAATAAAGTCTAACTTAAAAAATTAAATAAAATAGAGTAAAACAAGATTAAGCAACCATAAAATTTAGCTAAACGTCAGTAACAAAAACGCATAAAATGTAAAATAAAACAAAATAAAAAAACTAATTATATATAAAAAAAATAAAAAATCAATATTTGTGCAAAACCAAAAATAAAAATCTATAAAAATTTTAAGAAGCATGAATGTACGAATTTTTTTTAAATATACTGTCGACAATTTGACAAAATATTGTAATTTTTCTAGAAAAAATATTAAAAAAACGAAGTGAAATTATGTACATTAAATTAAAAAAATAAACTATACTTTGAAGCCTTAATTTTCACCACTCACCTCAAGATAAACATCGCTGTCCGGATTGAAGGTGTCATTCACCCGCTGAAACGTGTAATTCACATGTGGTATTGAGTGCAAAATGCGCACCAATATGCTGGGTTGCTCCATTTTGTCGAATGAAATTCTATGTGCGGGTGTGTATGTATGTATATGTGTGCGTTGATGCTGCAGTTATTTCTATTGTAATTTGTTTTACACAGAAATTTCACTAGCTATTCAACATTTACTTGATTACAATTTCAATAAATTTTGCACATTCAAATAGCAGAAACTTGCACGTTTCATAAATAATGCTTGTCTACTTTTAGGCGCATTATGAGAAAAAAAACGAAAATGGAGCGAAACAAGCTAAGAAATTACACTTTTTCGCTTAACTTTTGACGTCACAATAATATACGAACGCACGTACGCACTGACGCACTCACTCACTCACTTACTCACGAAATTAGAGTGACAAGAGAGCGCGCAGGCGAAGTATGGACAGTTGGAACGCATGTGGTGTATACGATATGGGTTTTTTTCTTCGTATTTGAGTGTGTGTACGTGTGTGTTGAAAAACGTGCTACGTGCTATTGCGTTATTTATGACTTTTTTAACACAATTTATATTTTGGCTAGCATTTTTACACGCTCTCTTGCTTTATTCTTACTTGCTGCTGCTGCTGCTTAAATCGTAGCAGACTATTGGGCGCTAAAGCGTGTGGGTATGTGTATACACTTTTTTTTAGCTTCTTTTGTTACAAGCAATTCGTTATGTTGCAAGTTTAAGTGAATTTTTGCACATTTTTGGGCACAAATTTTGCCTTATGGTGCACAATTTTTCACACTACTGCGCTGAGTGCTGCACCTTTTTAGGCGATGTTGATTCAATTTCAATACATCGCTGCTTAAATTTTTTTTTTAGTTTAGCATATTTTCAACAGCTATTGCTAATATATTTAATCGCGCTCTTCACAGTTGTTTTTGCTTATTTTGCGCTTTCCACAGATTCTAAGAAATCTAGCATACTTTTAGGGGCATTACAGTATCAGCTGCTCAACTTCAGACAAAACTTTTACTGCACTAAAATATTCTCTTCTATGTGTTGCGCAAACTTTCATACCTATCTATAGCGTAGCATACTTTAACGCGCTAGAAAATTTTCCAAATTTCTATGTTTAATGAAAATATTCTTTTTTTAATATTTTCGCACTCGAATTTTTAAAAAGTCACAGCCTTCGCGTCGTCTGCTTGCCTTGCCCAAAATTTCTTCACTTTCCGTTTTACATAATACATTGCATACTTTTGGCCGCTTGCACGCATATACATATACACACACACAGTCAGCGTCTGCCCTTAGTTTAGCACACTTTTAGGCGTTAACCTGCCGTCGTTGGCTCAGCCACTCAGCTGTTTTTCATTCGCTTTGGCTTTGCTTTCACACCAAATTGCCAAATGTAGCATATTTACAGGCGCTAAACGGCGTTCGCCCCTACATACGTGCTTTTGGGAGTTTTTTTTTGGACTTTGGGTGCACGTAAACTATTTATAGCATAAATTTAGGCGCTGCAAAGCTATTCACGTGACACACAAAATCTCGGCGCACACGAACGCACGCACCTGCGTACGTACAGCACGAATGTAAATATGTGAGGAATTTGAAGTATGTTGTCGTCAAGACTTTTTGTCGGTTTGATTTTCGTGAAAGTGTTTATGTGATGTATATATGTATGTATATTTTTTGAGCCAAGTTCCTCTGCACATACATACATGCAAATCTAACACGGTTGTTGGGGCTCAGTGAGTGTCGCAGTCAGCGTCAACGTCAACGCTGCGCACATTTTCCTAGTTTTCTCTGTTGTTGTTGTTGTTGTTCAGGTCTTCTTAGCTGCCGTTTGCGCTGCACAGCATCCTTGCTGCTAGCTAAACAACGCTTGCGATACGTTCCATACGTTCCACGCCGCGCTGTTAGCGTCACTGTGCGCTCCTTGCTGCAATCGCCTGCCGTCGTCACAGGGGAGGACTCACCGCCAACCGCACTGCCGCTTTCGCCGTCTCCACCTCGTACGCGCGCACTCGTTTCTTGTTTCTGTGCTAAATTTTCACTTTCGTTTTCACACCCAAAAATTTTTTTTCGTTGCGACTTCGCCAACAACGCTTAGCGCAGCCAGTTATTTGAGTTCTGCATAGATTTTTTCATCGCGTTCAACTTTTTCGTTCACAAATTTCCTATTCACTTTAAATTTTGATAATTTCTTTCTTTTTGCAAACACTTTATAAAGTAATGATTTTTTTTCGCGTCACATCGTTCGAAATTTTCATCCGCTTTTATATTCGTTGGACAGCTACCTACGCTGTGCTGCTCACTTCTGTCTATGACTGGTAGTTTGCCAGGCTTGTCAGGCAGCAAAAGTCAGCAGTAGCGAGCCTTGCTGCAGTTGCGCTCACTCTATCCTCTCTTGAAAAATACTGGCACTCTCTCACTTATTTTTCTACCACTTGCTGTCAAATTAGTGCGCTCTAATTCACCACACAGCCACACAGGTCCTCTGCTGTCGTGGCTTAGCATTTGACTTGCAATCACTCAGCCCGTTCAGTGTCCTGCGGTCTGCTGATAACCATTTTCACAATCTTGCAAAGTTTTCGTTTTTCCTTTTGTTTACCTTTAGTAATTCAATTTGACATCTGCTATGTTGAAATGTTGCCTAATTGGCAGCTTACGAACTGCTGAGCATGGTGAGTATAGTACAAAGGGTGTTGCCAGTGGAGTTTGAAGTTATTTTTCATGAATTGGAGGCACTGTAAAAGAAAGAAATTTAATTTATAAGATATCATGACAAAATTCATACTAAATCGATGATTTGGTTTGGACGAAGCGGAGGCCATAACGATTATAAGAAATAAATTTAAATATTGCTGTATAATTATTACTGAACAATGGAAAAATTTGTTTTCGTCTCCTGAGACGATAATCGTTAGACTAAAAACTTTTTCATCTTCCCCTAATAATTATATGCGACTTTTATTTTTTCGTCTCGCGGGACGTTTATTTTAAGACGGAAATGATTTACGTATTTTCATAATAATTATATGGGACTTTTATTGCTCGATTTTCGAGTGTCAAACTGAAGGGCTTTGCCTTAACGTAGTTTTAGTTTTCTGACAAGTGTTAGAAACTTAAATTCAATATAATCGAGCTCTGAGTCATTTGCCTTAATTTCGTGAAATCGGCTGTACATGTACCAATACTATTAAGAGAAAATGTCGGACGTAAATCATTTTCGTCTTGACGAGAAAAATTAAAGTCCCATATAATTATTATGAAGAGACGCAAATCATTTAAGTCTTGAAATAAACGTCCCGAGAGACGAGAAAATTAAAAGTCCCATATAATTATTATAAGAAGACGAAAATAATTTCCAACTGAAAACAATCGTCTCGCGTGACGAAAAAAGATATTTCTCGTAAATAATTATTATACAAAGACGAAAAATAATTCTCTTAAATAATATTATTTTGGGTCTCTGGGACGAAGCAATTCATGCATTAAAAAAATAAAAACCACACAAACAATTAAAGTTTTGAATGTACATACATAGGTATACTCACAAAGTAAATATTAATGTATCTTTTGTCCTAGTAAGTACTGATAGAAGAACAGGTAGCGGTCATTGCAGCATACATACTTGACCAAATATTTATTTATTTATTTTTTTTGATTAGGACACTCTTGCAGCAAATATGCGGTATGTATTTATTATGTGCGTATGTATGTACACATTTTTATTTTAATTCTTCAATAGTTATTGAAAGCAAAATTCTAACGAGATTTTGAAAATTTTGTTCATGGATTCTTATCATTTAAATAGTCATACTTATGTATGCATGTATATACCGTAGACTGGTTCAATAAAATGGACTATCCTTTTCTTTCAAACTCCTGTGTGACATAATTTCGGGACAGTGAAATAAGACAACTGTCAATAGCGCAGCGCTTAATATTAAGATCTAGATGTGGTGCGTCGCGAATTTCTATTTTCCATATAAATTTCATTACTCGATAAGAATGATAAATTTTTGCAGGAAATTAAAGGCTTTAAAAAACTCTCTTATGATTTTTCCATAAGCCCACTCATCCAAAAGTTACTCAAGATTAAAGTAAGTATTTCCCAGAGGATTTCGAAGAAAAGATACGTCGATTTTTTGAACCAGTCTAATTTACATACAAATTTATTTTTCCAAGCGTATATCTAGAAAAAGCATACATCCATACATATGTATGACTACATTTCTATGTTAGTCATTTATGTATTTACAATGCGATATGAGCTCATGGCTTCGTCATTTGTTTATTTACATATTTCTAATATGATTACTTGTAAGTGATATTACGTTCATAGAAATATTGAATCCAGTATATAAGCTAAAGAAATATGAACGATGTTTGTAGTCAAATATTTAAGTATGCGTTTTTTGTAAAAATTCGCGTTTCTTGTAAATAAGGAAAAAAAACAACGTGAAATATGAGCTTTAACAGTTAATTTGATTATTTTCAAGAAAGAAAACGATTTTTTTTTTAGATTTCATTATTTGCAATTAGATACACACCTATGTACATGAATATACAGTGACTCAGACAAATGACCACGTGTTAATTTTCTTCAAATGTTCGTATGTTTTTCGAGATAATTTTTTATTTTTTTGTTATTTTTATATAAAGATATCGTCTAAGCCGTGTAAACCACAGTTTCAAACTTTATACTAAATTTAGGAAAATTCAACTAATTTTCATAAAAACTTCAACTTTTTATTTTGAATTTTTCGAAAATTTTTGGGTATGCAGTTTTTTGGCCCACACAATTTTAGACCAATGAGTGGCAAGTTTTAAACGGTTAAAAAGTCGCGTTGATTTTTGACAACTTTTTTTGTTGACGGATTTTCGCACTTTTTTCATATAAGTATGAATTTCTTATGAACTAAAACGCGGGATACCGTCAGCACCAAAATTTCAAAATACCAACGCAAGTTTTTGTAAATTGCGCTTGTTATATTAAAAAACCCGAAATAGTAGCCTCCAAAAAAAAATTCTCTAAAATCAACGCGAAGCTTGCACTTCATTAGACTAAAATTGTATGGGCCCTAAAATTGCATACCCAAAAATTTTCTAAAAATTCAGAATAAAAAAATGAAATTTTGATGAAAATTTGTTGAATTTTCCTAAATTTTGTATAAAGTTTGAAATTGTGATATACTCGGTTTTGGTTAAAGCTTAGACGATATTTTTATGTAAAAAATAGCAAAAAAAATTTATCCTGAAAAACATTACGAATATTTGAAGAAAATCAACACGTGGTCATTTGTTTGAGTCACTGTAAGTACATACAGTGGCATGTATGAAAGTATATGCAATATTTCAATACTTATGATGTGCTAATAAGCTTATTTAGAATAGTTAAGAAAGAAAAATTCGACAGAAAAAGTTGAAGGTGAATAACAAAAGCATAAAAACACCTCACTCATATATGAATGTACATTTGACCCGCAGCAATTTGCAAGCAAAAAAAAGTTCGCCGTACACCTTCGAGTGTAAAGTATTTTTGCAGGCAATTTCGAAATTTTTTTTTGACGTATTCTATATATATTTTTCGGTGACACCTACATAAGTATATTCGGCAATGCAATTTTTTTTAAATATTTTTATTGGTATAATCGAAATATTTCCTTAGCAAAATTTTAATAAATTTCGGCGAGCATTAATTTAGTGACATTAGGGCGGTACGCTGGGGTGATAAAAATTGAGATCAGGTACTTGAGATGAATGAACTTTGGAACACAAAAACAAAAAATTCTCCTCGAGACAAAAACATTCAAAAATATGCATGTATATGTATACTACTGTAAAAGACGACTATATATGCTGAAGATATGACGAAAACTGTAAAAAGGTCAACTTTTTTTTGAAATTGCCTTGTAAAAATACTTTGGATACGATAGTGTACGGTGAATTTTTTTCTGTTACGTTCCAATGTACAATATTCATCGTCGTAAAAATATGTACATAAATATGTTTATATTACAAACAATTTTTAGTGATAAACAATTAAAAATCGAAAGCGAGGACATTACTGACTGCAAAAGCCACAGAAAATTACTCGCAAAAAAAATTATAGCGGGAATAATAATGGTGTATGGAAATGGAACACAACATACTACTGATTAAAAGCAACTGGGACGAAGAAAGGCGCAGAGCTGTATTTAAATACGTTGCAGCGGTTTTTTAATCTTTCAGCCACCGACTCACAGTGGTTCAAAAGTGGCATTTTGTGTTCACAATTCACTGGAGCCTTAATTTTTCTTTCAATTGAATTTTTTTAATGAAAGCTAATTAAAAATTTGCAGGACACCAATTCATCCAATTTTTTTTTTAATTTTTGTTGGATTGTATTATAAGAAAAATCTGAAATGCTATAGAAAAAAATTTCACTAAAATGAGTTTTTTTTTTGAGTTTCTGAAAAAAAGTTGGGTATTCAGTAAAAAGTGCAATTTATAAGTGGCTAAGAGGTCGCGTTGGTTTTGGATAAGTTTTTTCGCTTACATTTCGAGCACATCTGCATGCCAAATGGGACATAAGAGGGTTTGTCATATTATTAAAAACCAACGCGAACTCTCAGCCACTTGCAACTTGCACTTTATTATACTAAAATTTAATGATCTATACAACTGCATACCCCAACAATTTTTTTAAAACCAAAAAGAAATTATTTATTTTGGTCAACATAACATTTAAAATTTGTTTGGGTAAAATTATTGTCGTTTTGGCGGAACCCCACATTTGTTTTCAATTAGTTTTTATTGTGTAGCATTTATTAACTGGAATAGGAGAAACGATTTTCTTCAAAATTGCAACTTTTTCTGTACTTTGCACTAAAAAATTTAATACAAACAAACAGAAATTCAAAATTCGGGCTCAACTAGTCTCTTTAAAATTTTATTAGCTTTCATTAAAAAAAATTAATTAATTAAAAAATCAATTAAGTGAAAAATGAAGGTCTCAGTAAATTGTGAACACAGAATGCCAATTTTGAACTACTGTGCGACTGCTCTTGAACTGCGACAACATCTCACAAACAGTATATCTTTATTTTATTAAATGCCACCAAAACAATTTTAGTATACACAAGTATGTAGTAGTGAGCTTGCTGCCGCTGTGAGAGATTTCGATAATGCTTTTGTTCAACTCAAAAAGCTGGAGCTAATAATATGTTACCAAAAATGACTGATCGCCTAATAGAAAAGTCGAATGCCAAAATTTAGGCAATTGTCTTGGTATTTTGTTGTTGCTTGCAAAGCAACTTTGGTACTTACACTTTTTGCTAAGTGTTTGGCCGAGCTTCTCCTCCAATTTGCCGTGTGCGTCTTGATATTGTTACACAAATGGAAGGAACTACAGTTTTACGCCGCCTCCGAACGGCAAGTGGATTTTATGAAATTTTTTTTTTTTAACGCAGACATACACTCGGAGGTTTGTCATAGCCTGCCGAGGCGCGACAGCCTTTTTGAAATTTTTTTTTTGAATGTTTCTTTGACATTGATCGATACCTGGGCCTATGGAGTGGTATTACCCAACTCTAACCAAGCAGCTACAGCGGCCTTTTATAGGTAAATCAAGGTCACGTAAAAAATGTGATTAAAAAAATACTAATTAAACTCATGGCGCCTTCCTAATTTGTGAATGCGTATAAAATTATTGACTAGCAGAAAAAAAATAACTGAAATCTTTACATATGTATATATGTAA